TCAAGGAGGCTTTGGAGAGTAGTGATGCTGAGGAGTGGAAGAAGGCCATGGAGAGTGAGCTGAAGAGTATCGAGGAGAATGACACGTTTGAATTGGTGGAGCTACCGGAGGGGCGTACGGCGATAACGTCCAAGTGGCTCTTCAAAATCAAGTCGGATGCCGACGGCAAGATCGAGCGCTACAAGTCTAGGCTTGTAGCCAAGGGGTACCAGCAGAAGGAGAAGGTGGACTTCAAGGAGCTGTTTGCCCCTGTGGTGAAGCCGACGACGCTGCGAACCCTATTCGCGGGAGCCGCCATCAAAGGATGGGTAGTAAAGCAAATGGACATCGTAACGGCATTCCTTAACGGCATCCTTGAGGAGGAGATTTTTATGGCGCAGCCAGAGGGGTTTGATGATGGTAGTGGCAGAGTGTGGAAGCTGAAGAAGGCCCTCTATGGGCTGAAGCAGGCCCCTAGGCAATGGTACATGAAGCTGCGCGAAGTGTTGGAGGGGATCGGCTTCACTCCCTCAACGGCCGATCACTCCTTGTTCATGCTTGGCGAGGGGGAGCAGAGGAGTTTCATGGTGGTTTATGTGGATGACATCCTCATTTTCTCACCCTCTTCTGACCTTGTGAAGGAGGTGATGCTGAAGCTTCAAGACAAGTTCAAGTGCAAGGCCCTTGGTGACGTGAGCTTCTACCTTGGGCTCCACATCGAACGAGATGTGGAGAAGCGGTGCATGCGGGTGCATCAACGAAAGTACCTGGAGGCATTGGCTGCCAACTTTGGGCAGAGTGAAGGCCATGTGGCTACACCCTTTCCCTCTGGGTTCAAGTGTGTGAAGGGACCAGAGGAGGAGAGCGTTGGTGAAGAGGAGAGGCGCCGATTTCACTCGTTGGTGGGCAGCCTCATGTATGCGGCGGTAAACACCCGACCGGACGTCGCGTTTGCTACCGGGCAGCTGGCTAGGGTTGTGCAATGCCCTAATGAGGAGCAGGTAGCAGCTGGAATGAGGGTGGCCAAGTATCTTGGCCAAACACCGACCGTTGGGCTGCAATACTCGGCGGCGGCACAAAGGCGCCAAAAGGGCGCGGATGGTGTTGAACCCGGGCGTTTGTTCCTCACCGCCTACTCGGATGCTTCATATGCATCAGAACCAGAGGACATGACAAGTGTGGGAGGCTTCATATGCTGTGTTGGTGGAGGCCCAACTGCTTGGGAGAGCAAGAAGCAGGTTGACCAAGCTTTGAGCTCGGTGGAGTCCGAGTACATGGCACTCTTCCGTGCGGTACGGGAGATTGTGTGGCAGCGGCGTTTGTTGGCTGAATTGGGGGAGGAGCAGTAAGGACCTACCCCACTGTACTGTGACAGCCAGGGTGCCATTGCTCTTGCTAAGAACCCTGTGTTGCATGGACTCACGAAGCACATGAGAGTGAAGTGGCATTGGACGAGGAGCATGGTAGCCGCGGGTGAAGTTGAGTTGCGCTACGTGAAGACCACGGGGCAGCCGGCTGACATGATGACCAAGAGGCTGGTGGAGCAGCAGCATTGGAAGTGTTGCAAGCTGGCTGGGATGGCTCTGAACTGAGAGAGCAACATATCCTAAGGCCAACAATCCGAGGGGGAGTTTGTTGGTGCAACCCTACGGTTTGCACTCGGCTTGTTGTCCGTGTGCGTGAATGTGTGTGTGTATGGAATGGTATGAGGGCATGGGATAATATATATTTCATGCTTATAATTGTGTGTGAATGTTGAGTCCGGCACTGTTCCACATCACTGTACCTCGGCTCTTGGGGTTTGTAGGAGCTGGGAGTCATTCCCAACTCGTAACTCTTCCTATCTTGTGTTCTAAGACTATAGTGGCTGCCATAGTACCGTTCGTTCAAACCGACGCTGTGTCGTCAATTCTTTATCAAATCGTGCAATCTAAATTGCTAATTGTAGACGACGTGAAGACGCTCTAGATCCAATTTGAATCAGGTCATTTGCAGCTGTGAGCAGAACGCTATCAACGTTTGAAGCCGCTGTGCAGAAATCCGTCTGTGCTCTCTATCTTTCGTTTTAGGCACATTCAAGCCTATTGTGACTATAACAATAGTGGCCATGACAGGCAGTGACGGTCAGTAGTAGGTCCAGCACCTCCAGCACCAGCAGCACCTCCAGCACTCTCAGTCGCACCTCCAGCACCAGCAGCACTCCCAACACTTTCAGCAGCACCTCCACAAGCAGCAGTAGTAGCAGCAGGGCGGCTCGGTGGAGCTGGTGATCGAGGTAGGGCGGCGCGGCTCGGGTTGGGCAGGGCGGCGTGGCTCGGCCGGGCTGGGCGGCGCGGCTGGGCAAGGTAGGGCGCGCCGCAGACTGCAGGGCAGGGCGTGCGGTGGACAGGGCAGCAGGGCGCGCACTGTGCAGGGCTGCAGGGCACGATGCGCGGGGCAGCAGAGCGCAACACGCGGGCTGCAATAGAGCGCGACGCGCGGGCTGCAGCAGGGCGCGACGCGCAGGGCAGCAGGGCGCGAGGTGCGGGCTGCAGCAGGGCGCGATGCGCGGGGCAGTAGGGCGCGATGCGCTGGGCAGGGTAGCAGGGCACGACGCGCAGGGCTGCAAGGCAGGGCAGTGCAGCTCGCGAGCTGCAGGGCAGGGCGGCGCGCGGGCCTAAGGGCAGGGCAGCGCGATGCACGGGCTGCAGGACAGCTGGGCGCGGGCTGCAGGGCAGGGTGGCGCGCGCTGGGCAGGACAGTAGGGCGCGACTCGCAGGCTGCAGCAGAGCGCAACGTGCGGGGGGCAGGCAGTGCGAGTAGCTGCAGGGCAGCGCGACCCTGTGCGAGCAGGGCCGGACAGCGCAAGGGTGCTTCAGGTAGGAACGAGCGGAACTATCGGTGGGCCCTAAAAACTTAACAGGTTTCCTGCTCTGAATACCATGTCAGAATCACTTTGCTCTACCCGCCTTTTTCCCATTGTGCTGTCCCTTCCTTTCCCGCCTTTTTCCCATTGTGCTGTCCCTTCCTTTTCCCTGTGCTCTCTCCCTTCCTTGCCTTCTCTCTTTCCCCCCCCTTGGGGGTGCTGCTTGGGGGTGCTGCTTGGGGGTGCTGCTTGGGGGTGCTGCTTGGGGGTGCTGCTTGGGGGTGCTTCTTGGGGGTGCTGCTTGGGGGTGCTGCTTGGGGGGGCTGCTTGGGGGGGCTGCTTGGGGGGGTTTCTTGGGGGGGCTGCTTGGGGGGGCTGCTTGGGGGTGCTGCTTGGGGGTGCTGCTTGGGGGTGCTGCTGTACCTGAAGAGTGGATGTTGGATATCGAAGGGCTGGAGTACCGTGTTGGACCTGGGCCTGTGGTGGTGCAGATGGAAATAGAGGTGAGGCTAGGGGAATGTGGTGAGGAGAGGTGTAGATGGGTGGAGGGGGGAGATTGAGGGGCTGGAGTACCGTGTTGGACCTGGGCCTGTAGTGGTGATGGAAATAGAGGTGAGATGTTTGGAAGAGAGAAGGGGAATACTGATAGGGAAGGACTGGAAGGTGGTTGCTGCTGCACCAGAGGAGTGGATTGGGGATATTGAAGGGTTGGAGTATCACATCTGCCCTTGGCCTGTGGTGGTTGATATGGAAATAGAGGTGAGGTGCGGTGGTGAGGAGGGAGGTAGAGGGATACGGGGAGGGGAGAGTAGGGGTTGTGCGTGTTGGGGCATGACAGGGGTGGAGGGGGGAGATTGGAAGGCTGAAGGATGGAGTCGACTCAATTACGACTCTTCAGCATCAGAGGGGGTACATCTCTCCCTTGGCTCGAACCCCTACTCTTCCTTTCCATCATGTTTCCGTGCTCCAAACATTCCGCTGCCTTTCCCTCCTTCCCCCTTGCTTTCCTTCCCTTCCTCGCCCTGTCCCCAATTCTTCCCCAGCTTAATCCATGCGAAATTTCTGTTGCAGATTCTTACAGAAGTGTTTCAAATCTCCACCCTTCATTCCCCCCCCCCCCCCCCCCCCCCCCCCCAAACCCCCTCTTTCCTGCCCCAATCCAGGTGAATGACACCGTTACCAACATTCGCAACGTGATTGGGACAATCAAGGGCCAATCAGAACCTGACAGGTGGAACATGGTCAGGAAACTTAGGGAAATTGGTGGTTGAGTTGAGTCGAGGGTGTTTAGGCGTGGTCAAGTAAGAGAGTGGTAAGATCATGGTGAGAAGGATGAGAAGTAAGAGAGTGGTTAGATCATGGTGAGAAGGATGAGAAGTAAGAGAGTGGTTAGATCATGGTGAGAAGGATGAGAAGTAAGAGAGTGGCTAGATCATGGTGAGAAGGATGAGAAGTAAGAGAGTGGTTAGATCATGGTGAGAAGGATGAGAATTCATCATGGCAATGACGAAAAGTGATGTGTATCTGGCTTTTCTTTAGACTATACTCATAACACACACCTATTTCTTAACCCTCACAGCCCATGCTCGCATTCACCCCCCAAATCCCCTGCTTGTGATGTACCCGCATGCCCTCTTTGCCCCTAGGTGACTTTTGAGTCGACTCAAAAGTCACCTTGATGTACCCGCATACCCTCTTTGTCCCTTCGCTTCACTGCACACACAGGTATGTGCTGGTGGGCAACCAAAGCGATGCGTGGGTGTTTGGTGCTGCCGACCCCAACAGTGGCACCGCATGCATGCTTGAGGTAGGACCACCGTCCTGCTCATGCATTCATCTGCCATGCATGCTTGACATTGCATGCACGCTCGAGGTAGTTTCTTCTGCTGCCCTCTGTTTGATGTTACTGCATACTCAGGCGTTCATGCACTCATCCATTCCCAATGCTTGCTGCCTGCTGCCTGCTCATCTTATTGCTCCATTGTGTGTGGTCTTTTGAGGCGCCTCAAAGGTCCACCCATGGTTCTCTCGGCCTTCCTCCCGCCTTGCCAGTCATGCCGTCTGACCGACATAGTCGTTCGGGTCCAGGCTGACCGGAATGAATGCATGAATGTTTGCCTGGTGGCTGACGGCCTGCCTGCACTAATTTCCTCTCTGCCTTTGCCTTGTCTCTCATATGGCACGGGCATTCGGGCTCATGCTGGCTGGTGGCTGGAGGCCTGCCCGCTCCATCGTGTTTGGCTCGTGGGATGCAAAGGAGTTTGGACTGGTGAGCAGGGGTGGAGGGGCGAGGGCGAGGAGAGTATGGTACAGTATCAGGAGGGAGGGACGGATGGGGCGGACTGTGGGGATGAGGGAGGGGTGGAGGCCTGAGCGTTCCATCGTGTTTGCATCGTTGGCTGCAGAGAAGTTTGGACTGGTGAGCATGGGTGGAGGGATGGATGGGCGGAGGGATGGGCGGAGGGATGGGTGGAGGGATGGGCGGAGGGATGGGGACGGGGAGACCATGCTGAAGGAGGGGGGGACAGATGGGACTAGCTGTGTGGTTGAGAGAGAGGTGGAGGCCTGCCCGCTCCGTCGTGTTTGCCTCGTGGGATGCAGAGGAGTTTGGACTGGTGAGCATGGATGGAGGGATGGGGCCGAGGAGCCAGATGGTAGGGAGAGATGGGGGAGGTGAGGTGGGCAAGGATGGGGTGGAGTGGGGAGGGAGTGATGGAAGTAAGGATGGGCGAGGATGCGGATGGAGGAACCATATGGGAGTGAGAGGGGCGAACAATTCTTAAAGCTCGACTCGCTCATAGTCCTGTTTCTAAAAAAATGTACTGCGCCTGTTTCTTGAAGAATGTATGGTTGCTTACTGCGTTTCTTAGGTCCTGCAAGAGTCGCCTTATTGTGCAGTACACCCCTCGTTTGGTGTACTGTGCTGTGTTTTCCTGCAGCCTTTTTCTTCACGTGGTGTTCTGAATGACAAGGGCTGTACTGTCAGACACGGTTGATTCTATGCTCCCCCCTTCAGACAACGCCCCGTTGCTTTCGTCAACCATTCCGTCGAATCTTTAAAAGCCTTTCTCCCTCCCACGTACCAGATTGGCTCAACCGAGTGGGTGGAGGACAACGCCCCATTGCTCTCGTCTCGCGCCATCGCGTACATAAACGTCGACACCGTCGTGTCTGGCGCTGGGTTCCCCTCCCTGTCTCCCTCCTTCCCACCCATCAGATCGGCTCCACAGAGTGGGTGGAGGACAACGCTCCGCTGCTCTCATCCCGCGCCGTCGCATACATAAACGTCGACACCGCCGTGTCGGGCGCTGGGTTCCACGCTGCTGCCACGCCACAGCTGGATGATGTCATCAGAGAGGTTGCTGAGCAGGTGAGTTTAGAGTCGGTGAGAGCAGTTCACAAGCGGCCGTGCAATCTTGTTGGTCCTGTCATCAATGCGCTTATTGGTGTCGGTGAAGTTTTTTGCACCGTTTTCTCCCTCGTTTTGGGTGTCCTGTCTTGTCGCGCACAGGTGGAGGATCCAGACAAGCAAGGCCAGTCGATGTATGCCTCATGGGCTGAGAGGACCAACCGCACCGTCCCCCATGTGAGTGGACTGTGTATGGGGTGTGAATGCTTCTGGTGAATTTTCAGTCGGCTGCTGGCGGTGCTTGGCTTATTGCTGCAATCACAGCAGCGCCGGTCGCTCTGTAACTCGTGGGCTGACCGCCTGACAGGGCCAACCGCATTGTTCCTTGAGTGAGTCGGCTGGTTGGTGGCATGCTGTGCCTGCAACAAGGCCTGACATTCGATAATTGTTGAATTTTGCGACGTCTCAAAACTCAACTTTTATCATGTGAATGACTCGCCTATGAGTCGGCTGGTTGGTGGCATGCTGTGCCTGCAAGGCCTGACCATTCATGGGCTGGGAGAACCAATCACAGCATGCCACCTGTATCTGATAAGTCTTTGTCCTTGCTGTTCCTTTCATCTCCTCATGTCTGTGCTTCACACCGTATCATATAATATCCTATCATAACATAACATATCATATCATATCACATCATAACATATCATATGTATCATATCATATCATATCATATCATATCATATCATATCATATCATATCATATCATATCATATCATATCATATCATTTCATATCACAAGTCATATCAAATCATGTCGTATTTTCCACCAGCTTGGCAGGCTGGGCGGCGGTGGCAGCGACTATGCTCCGTTCCTGCAGCACCTTGGGATTGCCGCCGCTGACCTGCACTTTGGGGAAGGTGAGGAATGAGGAGTGGGGGGGTGGGAGATGCGTACTGAGGTGGGGTATATTGAGGGGGGGTATATTGTACAGAGTCAAAGATGCGTAATGAGGGAAGTTGCTCAATGCTGTGAATTCTCACAGGGAGAATTGAGAGGTCTCAAAGCATGTTTCCTGCAGCAGCTTCGTTTCCCCCTCTCTTGTCGCCTCCTTAACCCGTCCCTAAACTCTCTCACTCTCAGAGCACCCCATGTACCCCATCTACCCCATCCACCACGCCCCATGCCCCATCCCTCAATCACCCCTTCAGACTACCCCATGTATCCCATCCCTCATCCCCCACTCCTCACCCCCTCCCTCCACCCCCCCTCTTCAACCCCAATCACCCCCTGCAGACTACCCCATGTATCACAGTCTCTAAGATAACTACCTACCACTGCATGGCAATAATCATAAATTCCCTCTTTACCCTCTCACCCCATCCTTCTTCCCCCCCTCTCCCCCCCAGACTACCCCATGTATCACAGCCTATACGACGACTACCACTACATGACAACCATCCTAGAACCTCTCTCACATTATCCCTCTCACATTATCCCTCTCACATTATCCCTCTCTCACATTATCCCTCTCACATTATCCCTCTCTCACATTATCCCTCTCTCATTATCCCTCTCTCACATTATCCCTCTCTCACATTATCCCTCTCTCTCATTATCCCTCTCTCACATTATCCCTCTCTCTCATTATCCCTCTCTCACATTATCCCTCTCTCACATTATCCCTCTCTCTCATTATCCCTCTCTCACATTATCCCTCTCTCACATCACCCCTCTCTCACATCATCCCTCCCACCAACCCCCCCCCCCCCCCCCCCCCCCCCCGCCCCCTCTCCCCTCCAGACTACCCCACGTAGCACAGCCTGTACGACAACTACCACTACATGACAACCGTTCTTGACCCTCTCTTCTCCCGCCATACTGCCACCACCCAGCTCTGGGGCTCCCTTGCCCTGCACCTGGCAGGCAACGCAGCTCTCCCATTCAACTACTCCACATACGCCCTCAGGCTCAAGGTGGGTGAATGAGACCATCTTCACGTCTTCCTTCTCCCGCCATCATGCCATCCTGCCATCGCGCCACCACCCAGCTCTGGGGCGCTCTCACTATGCGCCTGTCAGGGGATGCGACTCTCTCGTTCAACTACTCCACATACGCCCTCAAACTCAAGGTGGGTGGGTGGGTGAGTGAGACCATCTTGGATTCTTCCGTCTCCCACCATCACGCCATCGTGCCACCTGCCAGCCCTAGGGGTCCCTTCCCTTGCATGGCGCCTGTCAGAAGGATGCGACTCTCCCCTTCAACTACTCCACATACGCCTTGAGTCTCAAGGTGGGTGGGTGAGTGAGACCATCTTGGATTCTCCTTCACCCACCATCACACCATCGCGCCACTGCCCAGCTGTGGGGCGTTCTTACTCTGCGCCCGCTACTACTGCGTTCTTACACTGCCCAGCTGTGGGACGCTCTTACTCTGCGCCCGCTACTACTGCGTTCTTACACTGCCCAGCTGTGGGGCGTTCTTACTCCGCGCCTAGTACAAGACGCAGCTCTCCGCTTCCACTACTCCACATACGCCCTCAGGCTCAAGGTGAGTGAGTGCGTGAGTGAGTGTGAGACCGTTCTGGACCCTCGCTTCTCCCGCCATCGCGCCACCGCCCAGCTCTCACACACTCATTTTCATGCACATAACTTGACTTGACAGCATAACGTGTCATGCCACACCCCATCCGACTCTCAACTCATGCCTCCCGAATTCCTCCAGGATTACACCAACGAGCTGCGGGCCTCGTTACAGTCACACGCAGCACATCAGCACGTGTCACAATCTGACGCTTCTTCTTTCATACCTCACATCTCCCATCTCCCATCTCCCATCTCCCATCTCTCATCTCCCATCTCCCATCTCCCATCTCCCATCTCTCATCTCCCATCTCCCATCTCCCATCTCCCATCTCCCATCTCTCATCTCCCATCTCCCATCTCCCATCTCCCATCTCCCATCTCTCATCTCCCATCTCCCATCTCCCATCTCCCATCTCCCATCTCTCATCTCCCATCTCCCATCTCCCATCTCCCATCGCTCATCTCCCATCTCCCATCTCTCATCTCACATCTCCCATCTCCCATCTCCCATCGCTCATCTCCCATCTCCCATCTCCCATCTCTCATCTCCCATCTCTCATCTCCCATCTCTCATCTCCCATCTCCCATCTCCCATCTCCCATCTCCCATCTCCCATCTCTCATCTCCCATCTCCCATCTCCCATTTCCCATCTCCCATCTCCTATCTCTCATATCTCATCTCCCATCTCTCATCTCCCTCCTTCCTCCAGGATTACACCAATGAGCTGGAGGCTTCGTTACAGTCACATGCAGCACAGCAGCACATGTCTCTGGATGCTATATGGAACGCCATTGGTTAGCTGGAGAAGGCAGTGAGGGCGATCACCAATCAGAGAGCAGAAGCCATTGCAGCAGTAGCACCAGTAGCAGCGGTAGGAGAGGGAGAGCGAGTGGGAGGAGTTGAAGGAGAAGGAGCAGGCGGAGGAGGGGGGGGAGAAGCGGGAGGAGGAGGAGGTGGAGGAGGAGAGGAACTGGCACGGCGCACTTTAATGAGTGTATCTCTCAACACACTACAGGACAGCGCAACTCTCAACAATCCTCACCGCAGTGCATCTCTCAGCATGCCTCTCCCCCTCCCTCTTCCTCTTCTTCTGAGGGACATCAATGATCGACTCATGCTGGCTGAGCGCGGCTTCCTGGAAGCTGCTGGGCTCGGGCCTGGATACACGTGGTACTGCCACATGGTATGTGTGGAGGGGTGATGACGGGTGATGACGGGTGATGACGGGCGATTTGGTTGTTGTTCTACAGAATGCTCTCATGACTGCTCCTTTGCCCTCTGCCCTAGGTGTATAGTCCCAGCCGTGCCAACGACGTGACTTTTGAGTCAAAAGTCTGCCCCAGGTGGATAGTCCCAGCCACCCGTGCCAACGACTATGGGTCCGTGGCCTTCCCTTCAGCTTTCGCGCCTTGCCCTCATATTCTTCCCCCATCTCCCCTCCTCCTCCCCCTCTCCCTTCTCCCCCCTCCCCCGCGCTCCCTGCCCCTGCCCCCTGCCAGGTGTATGGTCCCACCGGGTCAACGACTATGGTTCGGTGGCCTTTCCGTCAGTGGCCAGTGCACTACAGGATGCAGTCAACGGGAGGGGGGTGCAGCGGATACAGTGGGAACGCACCTTGCTCCCTACCCCAGGTGTATAGTCCCAGCCGTGCCAATGACTATGGGTCGGTGGCCTTTCCTTCAGCCTTCACACCTGCCCTTATATTCTCCTCCCATTTCCCCTGCCCCTCACTCCTCTCCCCCTTCTGCCCACTTGCCCCCTTCCTCCCTGCCAGGTGTATGGTCCCAGCCGTGGCAACGACTATGGGTCGGTGGCCTTCCCTTTAGTGACCGACGCACTACAGGATGCAGTCAAGGGGAGGGGGGGTGAAACGGATACAGTGGGAACATCAGATGGTACGAATGCCATGCATGAAGTGAAGACCACTGATGCATGCCATACAGCCATACATGTCATACATGCCATACATGCCATACATGCCATACACGCGACATGCCATACATGCCATACATGCCATACACGCGACATGCCATACATGCCATACATGCCATACATGCGTACATACTTCACCATTAGGTTGGGACGCTTCCGCTGGTTTTTTTTTTTTTCTTGAACCACTCCTTCCTGTGCTCTGTCTCTTCTCCCTTTGGCAATCTGGCTCGTCTCGTCTGTGTGTGCCTGCAACCCCAGGGTGGGGTCGGGTGCAGCATGAGGTGTTCCGTGTGTCAAGGGCGATAGAAAGGGTCGCCAGACAGCTCGCAGGGGATTTGATTTGATGTGATTTGCTTCCATATGTTGAGAAAATATCGAGACTTAAGCACTTCAAGGAATTCGTACAAATACTTCCGCTACAACAGGAATCTACCATCCTAAGTATACGATCCTACTCAATCACTTCAAATTCTAACATGGTATTGCGAGCGTCTTAGGATTCTACAAGCTTCCAATTACATACTCTGCAACTATGTCTGGCTCTCCACGATCCGACAACAGGTCTTCTGTTACGAGCCCATCACGCCCAACAGCGTCTCCAGCTGCTGACAATTCTCATCTGCAGCAACATCAGCAACAACAATATCAGCAACAACCGATGTACGGCATGCCACTGAGCAATCAGTCCGTACACACAGCCGCAGCAGCGGCATCAGCGGCAGCAGCCGCAGCAACAGCAGCATCAGCAGCCACAACAGCTGCAGCTGCAGTAACTGGTTCTAGTAATCAACCAGGACAACAGTCTAGTTTCGTACCGACTGGACCATTTCAATATCAAGGAGCTTACCAGCCGACGAATCTTCAGCAGCGCGTCGATGCTGCCGTTTTGTCACTTAACCAGATGTTTCCCAGTGCTATGAGCCTTGATGGCTCCAGTTATCAGCATGGACAGTTACCACAGGGGAGCGACGGGTCAAACAACTCCTTCTCCTTTGTTCCTGGTGGACAAGGACAGCAAGCATCGCAAGGATCACAGATGCCATCACTTTATCGGTTACAGTCAGCCGACGGCACCGGAAGTTATCTTCCTACTTCTGCAAATCCAACAAAGATTAAAACGACAATGCCATTCAACGGTCAAGATTTTTATACCTGGAGTTTCGAATTCGAACTTCTTGTTCAAACCGCGGGATTTTGGCAATTGTTCGACGGTACAGCACCCTTTCCATCTCGCGGCTCACCCCTTCAACAGGCCGCTTTTCGATCGGTGTCGCTGACCGCATACACAGTTCTCGTTCGCAATATGACATCGACTGAACAGCTTGGTATTCGTCCCTTTCGTACCAGTACCGCTCCCGCTGAAGCAGCTTGGTCATATCTGCAGGAGGTTTACATGGCAAAGGACACCGTCAACCAGAGCAAATCTTAACACAGCTGTCAAACATACAGATGATAAATGGCGAGAAGGTGACGCAGTATATCAACCGCGCTCGAAATCTACGCGACCAGCTTCAGAAGTGTGGAGGATACTTCCCCGACGCTATGTTTCACACGGTGCTACTCGCGGGCCTTGGACCAGAATGGCGGCAGTGTCGTTCCATTCTTCGGATGCAGGCAACGTTGTCCAAGGGGGCACTCTGTGCCGCTCTCATCGCCGAGCAGAAGGATATGGACCTACACGACGTTCGAGGAGGGAAAAAGGTGGTTAATAACACAGTCAGTTTCTATTCTACTCCACGTCGCAAGCCCTGTCAGATGTATATGCCTTAGCCTATGTAGGCTGTAGTGGGGTAGACACTAAGGGGTACAGGTTTTATATTTGTATCTCACACTTTCCTAGTTGATTCATTCCTGTTTAATTCTTCACATGGTATAGAGCGGGTTCCCTCATGGGACCGTTCCTTCCTAAGGGCCCACCATAAGCAACTTTTTTTTTTCGCTGCCCGAAGCGCGTCTCGCGCCCTGCCCTATTTTTTTTTTTTTTTTTTCGCGGCCCCCTAGCGGCCCCTAACGGCCCCTACGCGGCCCCTACGCGATCCCTACGCCGCCCCTAAACGGCCCCGTCGCGGCCCCGTACCTGACGTGGCCCCGTCCCTGACGCGGCCCCGCCCCTACCCGGCCCCTACGCGGCCCCTACGCGGCCCCTACGCGGCCCCTACGCGGCCCCCTGCGCGGCCCCCCTACGCGGCCCCTCAGCGGCCCCTATGCCGCCCCTACACGGCCTGACCCGGCCCCGTCCCTGACGCGGCCCCTACGCGGCCCCTACGCCGCCCCTACGCGGCTCCTACGCGGCCCCTAAACGGCCCGACCCGGCCCCGTACCTGACGCGGCCCCTACGCCGCCCCTAAAAGGCCCCGTCCCGGCCCTACCCCGGCCCCGTCTCGGCCCCGTCCCGGACCTGCCCCGGCCTCGACTCCGTCCCGGACCTGCCTTGGCCCCGACCCCGTCCCGGACCTGCCCCGGCCCCGACCCTGTCCCGGCCCTACCTCGGCCCCGTCCCGGACCTGCCCCGGCCCCGACCCCGTCCCGGACCTGCCCCGGCCCCGACCCTGTCCCGGCCCCGTTGCTGCCCCGTCCCGGACCCTGCTCGGCCCCGACCCTGTCCCGGACCTGCCCCGGCCCTGACCCTGTCCCGGCCCCGTTGCTGCCCCGTCCCGGACCCTGCTCGGCCCCGACCCTGTCCCGGCCCTGTCACGGCCCCGACCCAGTCCCGGACCTGTCGGCTCCGCCCCTGGTAAGAGCCTAGCCGGGCCGAGCCGCGCGGCC